GAAGGATGAAGGATATTTTTAGGTCCAAGATTCCAATGTGTCTGAAAAGAAAAGTATTTAATCAATGTATTTTGCCAGTGATGACCTACGGCGCAGAAACCCTAACGCTCACAAGAACAACAGTGAGTAAACTACAAGTTGCGGAAAGAGCAATGGAGAGAATTATGTTAGGGATTTCTCTACGTGATAGAATACCCAATACTACTATACGCAAAATATCAGGAGTAGCAGACGTTATTGAAAGGTTAACAACACTAAAGTGGAACTGGGCAGCTCATGTAGCAAGATCAGTTAATGACTGGTGGACAAAAAGAATTTTGGAATGGAGACCCCGAATACAAGCTTACAGAAATAGAGGTCGACCCCCAACGAGATGGACAGATGACATAAAAAGAGTGACTACAAATTGGATTCAGATGGTGCAAAATCGGACTAAGTGGAAAAGCATGCGAGAGGCCTATGTTCAGCAGTGGACGTTAGAGGCTAGTTGATGATGATGATGATCGCTCCAACAATGAAATGTGCAGACGCTGCCGATGACATTATAATATACTGTCATAATAAATCTAACAAATCTAGATGCAAAATTCTCCAATTAGCAGTAGAGAACTGCAAAATACAGTTGCTTCTCTAGGGCTTACCCACTTCTATTGTTCAGTCGTGACTCCCATTTGGCTATTACCAGAGATTTAATTTTAAATTTTTTGACTCGCCCTTTTTTAATTTTCACAATATTTTTATGTAGAAGAAAGTAGCAAAAAGTGACGAACAAAATTAGAAAAATACATGCTCTTTGCTCTAAATTTTAATATTAGTATTTATACGTACAATTCATAGAGATATATTCCCAGTAGTTTTAGCCCTCTCTATCTTTGTACGGTCATACTAGTCAATAAATTTAGCAGAAGAGTTCATGGTTTTACCCCTGTACTCACTTTTAACAACTTTAAATTATGAATTGTTATTTATTGAAAAATCTTGGATCTGATATTTGATTAAGATTAACCTAGAAACAATATCTTCAGGAAAATAAAGCAATAAAAAAAAATTATAAAACACTCTTACAATTACAATTGGTGCCGCAGATCCTACTATACCAAAAATTTTATAGATCACTTATATATATATATATATATATATATATATATATATATATATATATATATATATATATATATATATATATATATCAAACTCGACTATGGATGTTTAATATCTCTGCAACCAAATATATTCTAAATTTACTAATTACAGTTCATAAAACACCTATCCTTTGGAACATTACACTAACCCCACAGAAAGTCTTTATTGTTAGGCTAAAAAACCCGCTTCTATCGTCTAGGTAGAGGTGACAATACTTTCTTCTGTCGTATGCTGCTTCAGTTTCTGGTCAGCTCTCCAACTCAGTATATCATTTTTTAAAGCATTATATCATTAGTTCCACAATCATTTTTCATGTAAAACAATTAGGCATTCTTTATATTTCCAAGAATATTTATAAAGTTTATAATTTATTCTGTTGTTTTGTGTATGTAGTGTATAATTTCAAGATTATATATTTTTCCGCAGATCGCCAGGAAATTTTGACATTCCTGTCAAAATTTCTTGAAGAAAAAGTCAGGACTTCCTTTCTGTAAGGAAATGTCATTTCCTTACTGTAAGGAAATGATATTTCCGTACAGTTGTTAGCAATTAAATTTATAAGCGTCAAGTTTGACAATTCAACCTCAATACGTTTCCATAGTAACCCAAGTAATTTTATTAGGAACTTCAAAGCACCATTTATTTGGGAATAAAATTATCGCGTTTTTTTTTTAAATCAATCAATATCTGTCGAATTTTAAACGATTTGCGGAAAAATAGTATGTTCACCTCGTAGGAAAAGCCACATTCCTGGACTCTGTGTTGCTAAGTCTCGGCTTGCGCCTCGACTTAGCAATCTTCACAGTCGTCCAGGAATGTTAAGCTTTTCCTACCCGGTAAACAATGCCCTATTATTCGTTAAAGTCACCCACGACAACTATATGTTTTAAAATTCGTTTCTATATTTTCTAATATCTGAGGTGATAGATCCTGCTTAAAGTTTATTTCATCAAAACATTCAATTTTGATTTTGCTTTTTTTAATAGTAAAGTAGTAAATAATAATTTAAACGAAAGTTAAGAGGCTATATTTTTTTGACAAAATCTTAATTTTTTTAACAGCGTGAATGTCCCAATCTTTGAATAATATAAGAAAAAATATTTAAATATAGCTTACAAGTTTATATTAGAAAAAGGAAAATATTTTAGAAAATGCAAATTTGGACTCATTGAAAAAACTCATTAGACCAAATAAACTATTAAAGAAATGCGGTAGCAACGAACAATGATCTGGTCAAATGCAAATTTTTTGCCTTTAAAAATAATTACTTCATTTTTAGTAATAATTGGTTGTTATGTATTTACCAAAAACTAATTCATTCATGCCTATACTCCACTTCTTAGGCACAAGAGTTTAAAATAAGGGGGTATACTCCATTCCACGAATATACAACTTAAATTCGCTTTCAGGTATCGATTTAAATGGTCCAACGTGCTGAATTGTACAATGGTCATTTCTCCCCGTTTTTAAAATACTGCTATGACAGGTATAAACCTTAGATTTAAATATGAAGTCATGATCTAAATATAGAATTGATAGTTTATAGAATAGTTGCAATTTAGATTTTGAAGTATATAATTACTATCACTAAGTTTAGTATTGTAAACAAGTTGGTTTTTGATTTAAGTGATTTAATCGAAGTGTAACAATACTTAAGTGATTAAATAGTGTAATTTATTTAGTCGAATATTCAGTTAGTATTAAAAAAACTAAAAAACTTACTTATTCTTTAATTCTCCTAATCAACAGTACAAACAAATACACTACACTAAACTGTCTCTTAACGGACATGTCTCTTCACCAGACACCTCTATACGGACGGTTTTTAAAACTAAAATTAGTTGGCGATATATGAAACTATATGTAAATTTTCGTTACTGTTTAATATCTGTAACAAATCGGTACTTTAACTATCAATAGCCGGTATGTTATACCCGTCACTTTGGGAACTTTTAAAGTACATCCACTCAAAGCAAACAAATATTTAAAACTAACAAAGTGAAATAATGAATTCTTTTTCTGGTTTCTGAACCATCGTTTAACCAATTTCTTTTTATTTATAATAAAAATAGTATACTTCTTTTTATTACCGTTATAGTACCTAATAAGGTAATAAAATAGTGTAATATCAAAGAAACCCGGCACGCCTCTTTGGTGTTTACATTTCACCAAAATCCAACCCAAATATCTGATGAACACATTTATAGCTTCATAGACGTCATTGTATTTATTTGTAGGAGCGTTTGCATAAAATTTTTTGTTATTTTTGGATTAATTTTCACAATAAATTGTGGGTCTATCTGAACATCTATTAACTGAAATAATTTTTGTTTAGATGTCATAGTAACAGAAGATCTTTTTTATTGAAATAATAATTAGACCAATTTACTTTCATACTTCTACTTGCACAGTAAAATGTAGCAATAATCCAAAATAGTCGTATATTCGTGGAATAACCTATAAACTTGTAATTTGTATGTAGCTGCATCCAAATTTTTATCTCCGGCAAGCATAAAGTATAATAATTTTATAGTTAGTAAATGAATACGTTGTTGCGCTTTCGCCGTTTTTTAGAATCATTTAAGGTTCCCTCCACATTCTGTTAGAAACATATTTGAGTAGCAAAGTTCATAATAAATTCCGTCATAATTTAAAAAACTTGGATTTGCAAAAATAAAGCAAAGTACATAACATATTAACTATATTCAAACCTGGAAAGCTTTTGTGGAAATTGAAATTTATGTTTTAGTCCAAAATATCTACGCTTATAAGAAAGCTTGTTATCCGTTTCAAAGCTACGTTTGCTACCTGAGTAGTTTCTGAAAAGACCTATTTCAGATACCGCTAAAAGATTACCCTGCAGTTGCAGATAATATGTTTGTCTGTTTAAATTGCATTTTCACAGTATATTGCTCTGTTCACTTTGCTCATATTATGTGTCACGGAACTATTTAAGTACTGCAATAGCCGCCAATCCCCACCTGAAATAAACGCTGCCACCACTGCAATAAATGCGACTATAATTTTTTAAGGGGATACTTATCTCTACGGGCGGAGGCAAGGCTTACTAGTTCCACTAGTCTGAACGGACTGGTTTCGCCCTCGCGGATTTTCAAGAGAGTAGGAAAAAATTTTATTTCAAATCCTTTATAAAAGGTATATAATAAAATGCCCAAACGGGCTCTCACAATTACATTACAGAACGTTTTCGGAATGTTGATTCCATCATCAGTGTAAACGGAGTATACATGCTATGAGCCACCAAAATATATGGGTCAAAACCCTTTAAATGTAACAAATTTATAGATGTTTTACATTATTTATAATTACAAATTAGGATGTTTAAGTTACCGTTGGAATTGGTAACATGGCGACGTATGACCCTACATAGGTTATATGGTCCTGGGACGAAGTGTCTTCGAGGACCTGTTGATAACAACTGAGTTTTGTTTTTCAATAACTCAAACTGAACATTTTGTACTTTTTAATCTATCAAGTTTATAAATTAAGCTATTTTTCTTCTTTTATCAGATTATTGCTGCATATCTTATGTGAGGTAAACCATGTGCAATTTTTATTGTATCTATGGATGTTTGTTTATTTAAATAATTTTGTAGATGAATCGAACTTGCTGATTTTTATCGTGGTTTAAAATTGGAAAGTTAAGTAATGAAGAACTTAAATTCCGATTTTTTAAACGAGTGTTACTGGCAACCCCGCTTTTTATTGTCAATAACTTTTTGTGATTTCTTCCCAGGAGAAAATTAATTGAAATTTTCAGTCGACGCGATAAATGCTCAATTGGTATTTTATTCGACAAGAACAGTAGAAATTGGTAATTATAATCGTGAATGATAATGAGCGCTGGCTTCAATAGGAAATTGCTATTGAGAACGCTGGAACTAATTGAGAGGGAGCTGGTTTTTTGTTTGCAATGTAAGAAAAGTTTCTGAGTTAAAAAGCTGGGAAATTGATTTTGAGTTGTATTTAAAATCAGAAAATACAAAATCTGTGTACATAAAATAAATTCTGTACAATTTCTTCCAATTAATTAAAAAATTTTTGTTACTTTTACAGAATAGTTTTAAATTATGACTATTAATGATTTGTATTGTGTGAAGTAGAAAGCAGGACAATGTCTGCGTTAGTACGGCTTTCGATTCATTGTTGAAATGGCTTCTAACAAAAATAATAGACGTGTAAATTGTGAGTTAAAAACAGGGCCTAGTCAACGAAATAAAATTTTATTAAAGCAACTTTAAAAATTTATTTTAGATAATGCATGACTGTGAAATTGAAATAAATACAGAACAACCCATTTTAGATAATTTCCCAGCTACTTGATAAACGAGTGATAATGAATGAGTGTGTTCATAATACAGAAAATTATTAGTTATATATTATACAGAAGTTTCCTAAATCTAGCGGATTGATGGAGTGTAGTGAAAACAACAGGGACTCAAGCAGAAACTTAAGTTTAATTTGCTTAAGTAATTGTTTCAAAAAAAGGAAGAGAAGATGTCTCAAATTAAAAAAGTCTAACAAAGTAATTTTCTTAATTGGACAAAAGGTATTTTTAAAGTATATTTTTTAAATTTTAGTTTTATTTAATCATCTAGATTATTATATTTAATAATCAATATTATCGTTATGAAAAAAATATGGAATCACTAAAGATACCTTTTTGCGTTGGCGGCAAATAGCGCAACGCGACACGTAAAGTTCTAATATGCATGCGACTACTTAAAATTTAAATACCGAATAAACTTTATAATATTTTTTTCTAAATATTTTTTACATGAAGTCAATAGTATTTTCACAATTTTTTATATACACTAGATCATAATTAAGAACTACTAATATATTTTTTTTATTTTCAGGACAATCATGTGCCTCTCATCGCCTTCACCTAAATAGCAACCTTAAAAAAAACCAAAACCATCGTAAAAAACGTTGGTTATTGGAAGCCGAAGCAAAACTACCTCCCAGTTACGACGATCCCCCAATTTTGTTTAGCCCCAATAGAACTCGTCGACCTTTCACCCCGATCTTTGATCTTAATCAACCGATCGACGAAGAGCTAGAGATGTTCACCAACCGAAGCACTTTAGACGCTTCCGGTTTGATTTTTAGGAACGTTAACAAACGAGCCACCGTTGATCCTAAGAAAACTACTTGCATGTTGTATTTGCAAGCTGATCACCAGTTTTTCTCGAAGTATGGAACCGAAGAAGCGTGTATCGAAGTGATGACAAGGCATGTACAGAGAGTGAACGCCATTTACAGGAATACGGGTAAGTTATTGTTGAAACATACATTAAGCTAGAACTGACTTATACCTAAAATTGTTTGAAGACATTAAAGAGACGTTTCTTGTTTTTCTTCTACATCTTCTACAATCTTATTAAATTGCAACATTTCATCTGTAAATATTGTAGTTATATGGAGCTTGTTAATTAACTCTTACGATCATGAAATAGTTTGTTTATTTTGTTTTAGTCTCTTTTTGAGTATTGATCTTCTAATTACCTTATCTACAGTGTTGTTTTGGGAATATCTTGTCAAGTGAACCTACAGTCCTACAGACCTTTAGTCAATTTTGAACATATTATTCATTATGATGCAATGCAATCCAAGATTTATAAAACTTAATTTGTGACAATCTTCGATAAATTTCGTATTTCATTATGAATTTTAATTCATCAATTTTTTGATAATTTAATAATCTTAATTTTCTATTCATGACTTCATGGTCAACTCCAACAAATGGTTTTGTTCTGACACCCGTACCATAACCAAATTTTTTAATGTGATTTTTTATGGAGTCCAGTGTACAATTTTTTTTTGTGGTTTTTCAATGGAATATTTTAACATAGAAACAGCTTAAAGGAAAAATTCTATATTTTACTATTAAATGAGATCTTTCCTAGTAGTGATACTTTTAAATATTTAACGTAAGTGAAACATTGGAAACTTTAAATAAGTTATTTATATCATTGTTCTATTATAGCCTAGCCCCGAAGATGGTTTTGTAAATCGAAAACGCTCGACTAGAAATTAATAATTACACTCTTCAAAAATACTTTTCTTTTCCATTTTTTGATTTAAATATACTACCTTCTAGTAAACTTTACTTACTGAGTTGACATTAGCGGTATCTATGGAATGATTGAGTTATAAGAAGGTTTATTAATAATTTAATAACTACAAAAATTTATGTTTTATCGGGAAATCTGTTAAAACGTAAAATGAAGCCTATAAAGCAAAGAGGCTAGTTTTTTTATTATTACTGTAAATTTAATATTAACAAAGTTATGGCTCTTCGAACGTATACTTTTGTTCATCGAATACAAGCATCCAAACATATGATGTTAAAAAACCGGAAAATTTTTTCATGAAAAACTTTTTGAAAGATCTTACCGCTAATGATAAGTCCGCTTATATTTTTTGTTTACTTTACTTATATACAAGCAATACATTTTTGAAGTTAAACTGGTTTTAAATATTTAATTTTGAAAAAATCCAAGTGTAAACTGATGTCGCTATTATTTTCGGAATTTCTCAAAAAACCCCTTTCTATAAACTTAAAATTAAACGAAATATGATTGTTTAAAGGTTGTATTCACAAGCCTTTTCAGCGCAACCCTTTTTAAAACGAAGGCCTTAAAAAATATAGTACATGCATTAATAAATAGCATATTCAAATTAATGAAGTTAAATTCACCCATATCAATTTTATTTATAGCAAATAAAATGAATAAAAGTAAATAATCGCTAAACAATTAAGGTGTCTCTTTCAAGGAAACAGGTAAATACTTAGGACTTAAGTATGTTGGTAAAAACATAGTTAAAAGAAGACAGAAAAAGTAAGTATGTTTTGTCACAAAAACTTATATTTTCTTTGCAGACTTAATCTAGCTTATTCATATCATAATCCCGATTTTCTTAACGCTCTCTTTTCTTAACTTTTTTGAAACGATAGTATAGCTGTTAATTAATAATAAACTCGGTTTATACATTAATAACCAGGAGCGACACTACACCCCTGAGCCCTATCCCGCTTTAATAATATTTAATGCCAGAAATATGAATTCCCGTAATAAGTGGTGGCTTTTAAACAAAGAACACAAGACACCTGAGATATGTATCCACCGGACCGTTTGCTCCGCGTCCGACTTCATCCCCATGGCAATATATAATGGCTAATAAAGGGTTGTAATTTTACGCGATGCATAATTTCAGCCGCATCACGAGCTTTACACCCCGGAATCGTCTCATTTAAATAATTTAGCTCGGCACAATACGTTTGTGGATTAATAACGAAGCCATTACCGTCTCATTGGTTGTAGCGAAACTGACGTTTGTACCTAAATCGAATAGATTAAACCTCCAGAACGGGGTTTTGTTGTTGGTGATGATGTTAGTTCGCAGGGTAATGCTAGATTAGACGCCGTTATAGCTGCCTATGACGATAATAGTCTGAACAAATCGGCAGATATTGGAGCATAATTATAGTACACACTATTAAAATTTTAATATTAGTTTGAAAAATAAATATTGAGTTGTTTTAAATTGTTAGTTTGTATTTTCCTTTAAGTTGCTTCTTCGTTTGTTCGTTATGTAAGGAGAATTACGTATGTTTGTATCATTGGTAATACTGAATGCCGTCAATTGTAATACTTAGAAGGTTTGACATATTCGATTTGATATACTTTTCAGAAATTTTAAGATGAAAACCAGGTACCTAGCTATTAGGCACGCAACTGGGACATTTTATATGGTCGAAGAACCAATGGACTTAAAATGAAATCGTCAATGAAAAACATTCCAAAATGGAGCAGTAGAACTAACGCAAATAAATGTATTAACCAAGTGGAGCTTGTTAGTACTAGCAAACAAAATCATTTCGAACTATTTTTTAGATACTTCGGTCCCGATAGAAGTCAGCAATAATACAGGAAGGAGGAGAAAATTTCATTTGAAGCGCCCGAAGAATAAACGTCCTCTATAATGGCAAGGTGTTTTGAGGACGTTTTGACTCCTTGTGTTCCAAGCCCCAAATCGTCCTGAAATTTTTTGGAAGGAATTCGATGCGTGAAGTGACAGACTATATGAGGGAAGGTTATAGATGAGGAGAGAGGGATATAAATTTACTATGCTGTAAATTCTACGGGAAATTTTCCTCTGCGTAGCTAGGATCTTATTTCTCTATATTCACTTAAGAAATAAGTACATATGAATGCGGAAACTCATGATTAGTTTCATAAAAGTTTTGGAGTTGTAAACGAGGGTATTTTTATTTGTAGTTTCGGACTAAGTACTTCCAGTGCCAAGGATCTAGCTTATTTTCGTACGATGTCCAGAGTGTTATGTAATATCTCAGTACCCTAGTTGATTCTTGTTGAATTGACACGCAAATAGAACACTGATGATTATAAATCAAGTTAAATATTAAGGAATGTTCCAAATATTCTTCTTCTTTACGTGCCATATCAGGATTATCCTATCAAGAACCTGTTTTCTTCCTACACTTCTACGAATTTTTTGTCTTGAAGGATCAGTTGTTCTATATCGATTTCCCCGCACTATATGTTCCAGATAAGACATTTTCCGTTATTTGATAGTCTTTAACAATCTATTTATATAAAAGCATATGATAAGAAGTCACACCGTTTGTCCAGTAATGTAACGGCGCCACCTAGGAGAGAAATCTAAACTACTAACATTTAACATTTCAATCATATTTATATAATATTAATATAATGTAATGATAATAATTACATTTTAATATAATTAATAATACGATTAATTCTTTCAGAAAATTGCTAAAAATATTGGTTGCAGTCATTTTAAAATAATATTTAATAAACAAAATCATTTCAACCTGTGTGTTAGTTTAGAATTAAACATCTAGCGCCACCTAGGAGAGAAATCCGAACTACCAACTGACAGATAAAATAAATTAAAATTATCTGACAGATAAAATCTAAAACATTTAGTTACCAAGTTGTTTTGAATCACTGAATGTGAAAAAATTTATTTAAATACTACGAAAATTAGCTGTTATATTTATTTTCAAGAGATATTTGTGATTTATCTGATATAAGTATTGAAGTGTCATCTGCATAAAGTGTAAACTGTACATCAGAATTTATTGAGACAATATCATTTAAGTAAATAAGAAATAATATTGGGCCAATTACAGAACCTTGCGGAACACTCATATGAATGTAAATATAATCTGGTTTGCAAACATTTTTTGAGTGCTGGGGTATATCTGTTAAGGGGACATACTGACGTTGTTCTGATAGGTAGGATTCTATCCATTTTAGAGAGAGATCTTTTATTCCAATATTTTCTAATTTATTAATTAAGTATTAAATATTTATCTGCATTAAGTAAGGTATGATCGACACAGTCAAATGCCCTACTGAGATCACAAAAAATCCCGACAGGGCATTCATCCGCATCAATATAGTTAGTTAAAGTCTCATAAAATGAATGAACTGCTGTGTTTGTAGACTTACCTTCCTGAAAGCCATGCTGACATTTAGTAATAATGCCGTTCTCCAATAAATAAGAGTTTAATCTGTTAAGATAACAGTATTCGAATATTTTAGAAAACACTGAAGGGACAGTTATTGGGCGATAATTACTAATATCCTTTGGATCACCTTTCTAATGTACAGGAACGACTTTTCCCACATTTAGATAATCCGGGAAAATACCATTGCAAAATGAACAAGTTTATTAGAAATGTTAAAGGTGATAGTATGAATGGAATTACTTTTTTTAATAAAAATTGAGGTATTTCATCAAATCCACACGATTTTGTAGATTTCAATTTTCCTATCAATAATGCACTCAGCTCATTTGGAGTGTAAGGATATAATTGTAAAAAAATTTTATTTTCATTATAAGGCGGCTTCCTTAAAGTACTATTTTGATGACTGGGAATTTTAGAACATACCTTAATTGGAGCATTTTTAAAGAAAACATTGAACATGTTAGCAACAATAGGGCATTCTTCTATTACACAATTTTCTTCTGATTTTAGGCATATATTTTTCCTTCCATTATTGTCAACATTATTAGTCATGTCTGCAACAAGTCTCCAGGCACTTTTTGTAGGATTATCTGATGACGAAATAATATTCTGGTAATAATTTTTCTTTGTCAAACGTAAAAGTTTCTGGTGTTTCTTTTTTTCTAACTTATAATATTCACGAAGACACGGACAGGATCTAGATAAAACATGCAAGTTTTTTAAGTTACTACTAGATAAGCGTACTTCGCTGTTTACCCATTTTTTTACGATCATTTATAATACGTTTATTTTGCAATGGAAAATTAATGTTAAAATAATACGAAAAAGTATCAACAAACAGATTAAAAGCCAAATTAATATCAAGTATACCGTAAACAATATTCCAATCTTCCATCACAAGACCCATAATAAAATTATCTATCCCACTCTCAGAAAAATATCGCTTTTGACAAGACATAGGTAAGGTCGATATATTGATTTCAAGTTCAACTAAAACAGTTCCATGATCAGACACAGTAATGTGAAGAATACATGACTTACCTAAATTAGAAAAATTTTTCTCGTGGGATCAATAAAATTGATCACTTTCGTTGATCGTTTATAGTAAAATTTATTTTAAAAGAAGTAAGAAATTAACAGTAAATTTTCTAAGGCATATGCTATTCAGGCTGGAAGACATGTTGCGGTCGAAAATACACAGTTCCATGATTGTTTTTATCGACAGGTATATGGATCGGAAAATAAATGTTCTCTGCTCGACTTTATATTTTTTAAGTATATTATGTACCTGTTTTTTATTTAAAATTAAATGTGCGTTAGTGCAGGAAACAGGAAAAAATAATTAGAAAGATAGGTAGAGAGTTAGTATCAATTAGATCAAACAGTACCAAAAAAAAACTACTTAAATCCGACTTTGCGAGTACATAAAATACTCAAGCTCGGAAAAGATGAAGAGCCAGCGTCAAAAAAATGATAAGAACCTTGGGAGAACAAGACCCTTCATAATCATTACACATCGTATAAAAAAGGGAATATAAGAAGTAGATCATAACCACATGCAAATATTTTCTACGTACAAATTAATAATACTCAAGCAAACATAAAATGTATCATATTTATTTGCCTTTCCGACGAATTAACCGAAACCTTAATGTAACCTACTTTTATTAAACAGTCCTACATAATTAGTATAATTGTGAACGTACGCAGAAAAAAACATTGTTTTGGAACCAGTCTTAAGCGGCGTCCTCATTGAGTCGACGTTGTCGATCAACTGTGTTTATCGACACTCTCGACTGAGTGTGTACGAGGCAATCGACTTTGTCGATCGACAAAAGATGTCGATCGACGTGTCGACTGGTTTTCCGTGCTCTGTCGGTAAAATCAAAGGGTAGTCGAGTCGAATCGGAAGTGTGTACGTGCATTCGACGTTCGACCTTCGACTTCTTCTTCTTCTTAAGGTGCCGTGCATTTCTGCGTAGGCGTCCACCGTACATCGTCTTGTCAGGTGAGCTGTTAAATATTCTGGTTTAAATAATTCTGTTTTTAGCAGCATTGCGAAGCATTTCATAGCTGTGGATTCCTGTCCATTGTCGAATATTGCGCAGCCATGACATTTTTTTACGTCCGAGACCTCTCCTACCCTCTATTTTCCCTTCGAGTATCAGTTGCTGAAAAGTGTATCGTTCTCCTCGTATAATGTGCCCCAAGTATGCAGTCTTGTTACTTTTCACATAATTAAAAAGTTCCCTATCCTGTAAGCCCGCTCTTCTGAGTACTTCCTCATTTCTGACCCTGTCCGTCCATGATATTCTGAGCATTCGACGCAGGCACCACATTTCAAACACTTCAAGTTTGTTAATGGAACTGGCCTTTAACGTCCATGCTTTCATTCCGTACAGGAGAACAGGCCACACGTAACACTTAAGCATCTTGTATCGGAGGTTGAAGTCCAATTTGCGATCAGTCAGAAACTTACGAAGCCTCAAAAAAGCATTTCTGGCTTGTTCAACTCTGCTCTTTATTTCATTCTCGGGGTCCCAACCCTCATTCAGCAAACATCCCAAGTATTTGAATTGCCTGACTTGTTCGATTTCTTCTCCAGAGACATATATCTTTGCGTTGGGGTAATCATTTCTACTTATAATCATTGATTTTGTCTTCTTGATATTTATTTTCAAACCCCGAGCTTCACTTGCAAGAGTTAGATCATTTAAAAGGCATTGAAGATCTTCGATGTTATCTGCCACTATGGCTGTATCATCGGCATACCTGATGTTATTAATAAATATGCCGTTAACTTTAATACCCTTATTAGAGTCTTCTACTGCTTCTGCGAAGGCTTTTTCTACGTATAAATTGAACAGCATTGGGGACAGTATACAACCTTGCCTTACTCCTTTTTTAATGGAGAAATCTTCTGTTTCGTTGAAATTTTGAAGACGTACTGTTGCTGTCTGAT